GGGGCTGGATCGGGGGGGGTCGAGGCTCAGGGAAAGCACGACCCACCTGGGACAGCAGAGCTGGGGGCCGGGGGACGCTGGCAGTGCCCCCTCCCCCTGGTTTGTAAGTGAAGGTTCTGTTAGTGGTGAAAACCATGATGGGAATGTGCAAGCCGTTGTTAGAGAGCCGGGGGCCACCGCCGTGCCAGGGGAGGGGGGCCAAGTGGGGGGGGGAGGATTGGACCCGCGCCGGTGGGTGCAGAGGGGACAGAATGCCCACAGGGTACATTTTGCAGTGGCAAGAGCTGTCACAGGGTTGCAGTCCCCCCACCCCGCGGGAACCATCCTGGAGCCACCCGTGTGTCCTCGGTGTGGGTGGGATAATCCCGGCTTTCGTGACTCCGACCCCTCGCCGCGCCCCAGCCCCACACGTCTCTGTGCCACCCCCCAGGACCGCTCCGAGAGTGTCCCCTGAGGTGACAGCGGAGCCCGGCGGGTGTGGGGTCCGTCCCGCGGGTGGAGGGCTCCCTCTCGAGGGCCCCGGGCAGCACTGCCCGGCCCGGGGGCTGGGCTGAGCCCACGCGGGGCCGCGGGCAGGGCCCCGCGGGGACCTGGAGGGGCAGGGGAGCGGGGAGACACCGGGACCGCCGAGGGGATGCGGCCACCAGCGCGGCCTCGGGGCTCCATCAGGGCACTGCAATTTCTTCCAGTCATTAATTAGCGGCTGGACCCGTCCCCTTCACCGCTGGGAGCAGCCGGAGGCGATGGGGCACAGCTGTGGCTTGTCCCACACGCCACGTCCTCGCTACGACACCAAAGGTTGGTTTAGTAGAGGATGAGTCGCTCCCAGAGCGGCGGGGACTCCCCGGTGAGCACTCCCATGGGGCACTTCCAGGAGATAACAAGCGTCTTGGTGCATTACAAATTCTAGGCACCTGGACCAGGCATTTTGGAGAGGGATGAGCTGGAGAAGACACCCTACCCACCTCCCCGTGCATCGTATTGGCTCTCAGGGCTGCTTCTTGTCCTGAGCAAAACCCAGACTTCATGTAGAATATACACTCAGGACACCTCAATTTGGAAGGGACCCAATAAGTCCATCTCCCTGCTCCCCGCCAAGATGCTCCTCCTGCTCCTTCCCAGCCCCGAGGGTCCAGGGTCCTGTTCTCTGTCCCCAAAGGGCAGCACAGAATGACCCCCAGCCCGTGGGGGAAGGACCTGCCCAGGTGGTGGGTGTGCCCCCCCTGGGGTCCGGGAGAGCCGCTCTGCTCTGGGATGTCGCTGTCACAGGCGGTGGGACAGGGGGATCGGGGGGTGGCCGCTGTCCCCCCTCACTGGGGACGCAGGAAGAAGACGCGGGTGCAGGGACGGAGGTGACAGAGCGGCATCGGGGTCGTGTGGGGCTGGGACAGGAGGCCGGAGAGAGGTGACCTGTTCGGGGGATTGTCCCCGCACCGGGGACTCCAGTGACAGCATGGGGACTGACCCCTGCATGGGACAGAGCAGCAGAGACAGGGGACACTGCAGTGGTGGCCCTGGGGCTCCTGGTGCCATCCCCTGTGGGCATGTGGTGTCACCCGCCCCAGGGCACTTTGTGTCACCGTCCCTGGGTACTTGGTCACCTGCCAGGGCACTTGGTCACTTCTCAGGGGCTGGGGCCGTGTCCTGAGCTGGGTCACTGAGCCAAGGGGAGCGGGGGGGGAGTCGTGTCCCCAGTTTCGGGGGTCGTGTCCCCGGTGCGGGGGGCGTGTCCCCGGTTCCGGGAGGCGTGTCATGGTCACAGGGGATGTATCCCCGGTGTCGGGTGTCGTGTCCCCGCTTTCGGGGGGCGTGTCCCCGGTTCCGGGAGGGCGTGTCATAGTCACGGGGGACGTATCCCCGGTGTCGGGTGTCGTGTCCCCGGTGCGGGGGGCGTGTCCTGGTCACGAGGGGCGTGTCGTGGTCACGAGGGGCGTCCCCGGTGTCGGGTCCGAGGGTCGCGGCGGTTCCCGCTGTCCCCGCGATGGTGCTGCCGTCGGGGGTGAGGGAGCGGGTGGCGGCGGTTCACAGGGGCTCGGCGCTGCCCGAGCGGCTCCGGCAGTACGACGGCTGGGCCACCGACTACGACCAGGTACCCGGCACACCGGGGCACCGGGGTGGTGGCCGGGGCTGTCCGCGTTCACCGCCGTGTCCCCGCAGGATGTGGCGGCTCTGGAGTACCGCGCACCGCACCTCGCCGCCGCCTCGCTCGCCTTCGCCTTCCCCGCTGCCCCCGCCGGGGCCCGGCTGCTCGACGTGGCCTGTGGCACCGGGCTCGTGGCGCGGGAGGTACGCGGGGGGACGGGGTGGGATAGGATGGGATGGAATGGAATTGGGATGAGGGATAACGCCCGCCTGCCCCCGCAGCTCCACCGCCACGGGTTCCGCTGCCTGCACGGCGTAGACGGCAGCGCGGGGATGCTGGAGCGGGCGCGGAGCACCGGGCTCTACCAGGAGCTGCGGCAGTGTGTGCTGGGCAGGGAGCCGCTGCCCGGGCCCGCAGGTGACGGGGCGGCACCGGGCGGGGGCAGCCCCGCGAGGACTCCTCGGTGATGTTCCTTGTGTCCCTGCCCGCAGATAACGGGCCGGCACTGGGCGGGGGGAGCCCCGGGAGGACCCCTCGATGACACCCCCGTGTCCCCGCAGAGCAGTACGATGCCGTGACGGTGGTGGGGGCTCTGGGAGAGGGGCAGGTGCCGACCACGGTGCTGCCGGAGCTGCTGCGTGTCACCAAGCCGGGTAAGGGGGGTCCCGGTGTCCCCTCCCCGCCGGGACACCGAGCCCCGGTGGATGCGGATCTCCGGCTGGGCGCTGATCCCGTGGCACAGATGGGGGTTGTGGCTTTGTCGCTGGGGCCAGGGATGGTGATGGCACGGGGTCCCTCTGCTCGCTGGCAGGTCCGGGCAGTGGGATGAGGCAGGAGGTGGCAGTGGCACTGCTGGTGTGTGACAGCCTGTGCTCAGGTGTGACATCCTGCCCGTCCCGTGCCCACTGGCCTCCTGCCCTTCCCCTATTCTGCCCTCTGTGTCCTGCCTGTCCCCTGCCCACTGACTCCTGGCAGGCTCTCCCTGCTTCCCCCTGACCCCCACCCTTTCCGAGGGGCTGCCACCACCAGGGAGGGACACCCAGTGTCAGTGTCACCTGTGCCCTGTCCCACAGGAGGCTTCCTGTGCCTGACGACGAGGAGCAACCCTTCAAACCAGCGGTACAAGCGGGAGCTGGAGGCGGAGCTGGGGAAGCTGGAGCGCTGTGGAGCTTGGCAGAAGCTGCTGGCCCAGGAGGTGGAGCACTGGGAGAGGGCCACCTCGGAGGAGGAGAGCACCCGGGGCACCGGCTACATCTCCGGAGTGGTCTACCTCTACCAGAAATGCCCTGTGCCCCCCCTCGAGGAGGACTGAGAGCTGGCATGGCTCTGGAGGGAGGGTGAGGCCCCCCCACATAAAACTCAGCTGAGTGACACCCTCCTGGAGCAGTGCAGCTGCTGGGGGGGGGATCAGCGTTTTGGGGAGTGTCCCCATTCCCTTCCCCACGTCCTTCTCCCTGAGGTCTGGGCCTAAGGGCCTTGTCTGCTCCTCAGCATGGGGAGGGTCTCCTGGTCTCACCAGGATCTTCTGGGCACCACCATTAGCTCTGACATTCAGGTATTGTCCCCAACACCTCAGCCTTCACTGTGACATTTTGCGGACCCACATGGCTGTTCAGAGCCATCTCCTGTCCAGGAGGTCTTCTCACTGTGCCCACCTTGGCACTCGTGGTCAAAATCTGGGTCCTACTTCATCTTCCACTCCCAGCCCCCCATGGGCTTTACCTGGGGACTGCTGAAGGTGGATCTCCCATCCTCATCCTCCCCAGGGGCTAACCCAGTGCACACTGAGGTGCAGGAGACCTCCACAGCCAGAGCAGGAGCTGCAGTGCCAAGGTGGCACCCAGCTGGAGAGGCTTCCAAGCGCCACATCCACCTTTCATCCCTCAACAGCTGCTCAAATCATTCATTTTCTCAGAGCTTTGTAGTTAATGGTCTGGGTGGGAAATGAGTTTGAAAGGAACTCGGGGAGCTGGTGGCTGCTCCCCACCCAGGAGTTGCCCAGCACTGCCTGCCCAGCCTGTTCCCCCAGCCCCCCTTGCTGTGCTACCTACACAATTCCTCCTCCACTGATCCCTTGGGAATATTTTTACCCAAATCTCTTGCTGGAATATTTGGGGTTTTCCCTTTTCCCTTCCCCCAAACCTGTTCCTGCTCATCCTGTTCCCATGTCCTTGAGAGCAGGTTACTTCTTTCCCCTTGGGAGCATTTCCCAGGTGGGAGGCGGTGGCTGTGTCTGTCCCAGGGTCTGCCCCACCCAGGGTATCCCAGATCTTCAACGCTCGCCCTCCCCATGGCTCTTGCCATCCTTCCACATTGTCCCCCCAGGTCTTGGGGTCCCTGGGTAGCTGGGGGTCATGGCTGTCCCCAGCCCTGCACTTGGCTGTTCAATAAATCCCTGTCCCTGCTGTCTGCCTGCTGCGTGCTGTTCCTGGAGCAATGACTGTGGAACCTCTGGGGTGGGTGGCCAGGAGCCTGGGAGTGGAGATTGGGCCTTTCTCTGGGGGCTCAGGGGACCTGGTGTACCCCTTGTGCCCCTCTCAGTTCTCAGCATCCTCTCCCTGCCTCAGTTTCCCTGCCGTGGGATACCCAAGGAGCACCCTGGCTGGCTACTGCTGCTTCCCCATGGGGACATGGGGACGTGCCAGGCACTGAGGCAGCAGCCCTGACCTGGCATCAGGCTGGCAGGGCACAGCACCCCCAGGATACATCACCGTCCTCCCCACACCGCGCCGTTCAGAATGAGCCCAGGCAGCCTTGGTGGCACCAGGTTATTTATAGTCCCTGCTCTGGGGAAGGGCACATGCTGGAGGACCATGCTGGGATGCAGTCAGTGTGGGGATGGGGATGGGGATGGGGATGGGAATGGGGGTGGAGCTAAGGATGGGGACAGGAATGGGGATGGGACAGGAATGGGGATGGGGGTGGGGATGGGGTGGTACAGGGAAGCAGGGCAGGGACAGTGGTGCTCTCCCTTGGTCTGGCACCTGGGCACAGGGGCTCACACGTAGTCCTTCATGGGGTAGCCCGTTGGACCACAGGTTTTCACCCCTCTGTAATTCTTGGCGTAGGAATCCTGCTGGGACTGGGTTCCCAAGCGGCTCAGGATAATCCCACCGGAGAGCAAGAGGAGAACAGCGATCCAGCCGATGTAGATGGCAGCCCCCAGCTCTCTACTGACGGCCTCGGCCGACATGGGGGTGTAGAAGTTGTTGATGATGTTGCTGGTGGTCCAGGCGATAGGGACGAGGATCAGGACGCCGGCCGTGAAAAACAAGGCGCCTGACACCGCGGTGTACCTGTTCTTGTCAACGCCACCCATGCAGCTGCCGAAGTCTCGGCCCACGACGGAGATGAGGAGGCTGGCGAAGGCCGTGATGAGGGAGGTGACCACCATGACACGGGCAACTTGCAGGTCGGGGGTGATCTCCAGCAGGGAGCTGTAGCTCCTGCACTGCCCCGTGCCATCGTAGGAGCAGGTCACCCACAGCCCGTCGGAGTACGACTGGGGCGCCATGGTGGTGGAGCTCGAGCAGGTTGTCACCCTCCACATGGGCAGGGCACAGATGATGATGGTGGCCACCCAGCCCACAATGGCTGTCACCAGCCCGCTCATCCGCTTCGACATCATTTTCACGGTCAGTACCTGTGGGGACAGGGCACAGCTGTCATGGATGTGGCCCCGAGCCAGGGGGTTGCTGGAGAGCACGGCCTTCATCTGGTGTGTCCTGCTCCCCACCAGGGTGGGAATGGCTGCAGGACAGCGTGGGGACTCAAGGGATATGGGGACATGTGTGTCATGGGACATTGCTGCAGGACAGCATGGGGGTACACAGGGGACACTCAGGACCCAGGACCTGAGCAGACAAATGTGCAGGGGCCCTCATGTGTCCCACTGTCCCCTACAACGTCCCCACAGCACAGGGTAGCCTCTGCCATCCCCCCTCCTTGGCACATGGCAAGTGTTAGAGAGGTGATGGCTTTTGGGAAGCAGGATGGGGAGCACACTGTGCCCCTCCTGCCATGCTCCCCACCCCACACTGACCCCATGTCCTGCTGTGGTAGCAGCCCCCCAGTGCCCACCCCATGCCCTGCTCCACCACTGGTGCTTCAGCCTCCTTGGCCATGAGCGTCACGCTGAGGGCACTGTCAGGGAAGGCAGCCCCCCCTCCCCACAGCCTGCTCCCGGATGGAGTTCAGGTTGCTGCAGTGCCCTTTGGACCTGGGATTTCCTCTCTGGGGTGCTGGAAATGGGTCAGAGCTCAGCTCTGCTCCAATCCTGGCTGTGGGGCGCAGCACTTTCAGTGATACCAGCTCTTGGCCCCGGGAGTAGCCCCAACAGGGCAAACCCTGGTGAGGGGCTACAGGGTCGCCACAGATGTCACCCTTGGCAGAGGGGTGCTGTTCTAGGCACACACCAGACACACAGACAGCTCCACCACAGTCACATGTGGCTGCCAGGGCCCTGGCTCAACCCAAACCCAGCTCAGCCCAGCACAGAGCAGAGTTCACTGCTGGGTTCCTGTGCCTGGCAGTCGGGACCGGCCGAGTTTTTATGGCCCCGAGCTCAGCCGGGTATCGGTTGTGCCCGGCACACCCTGCGGCACTTGCCGGAGGTTTCACCATCATTTCTCCTACCCCAGTTTCGGTTTCTCCAGCTTCTCCTTTCCCGTTGAATTCCCACTCCTTCCCCAGCACCTTTCATCCTTTGGTGGCCTGATAGACACCCAGCACTGGGACCTTGGGCCATGAAAGACCCTTTGGGCCAAAAAAAACATGATGGGAGCCATCCCAGGCACCCCTTCCCAGCCAGCAGGACCTGGGCCACAGGAGACACCCAAAACAGGGTGCACGACCACCCACACAGGGACAAGCAGTGGCCCCCCAAGGAAAAGAGGTGCCCCTACTGATCCTGAGGGACAGCAGGGACGTTTGCCAGAGCATCACACTCACATTTCCACCCGACCATTGCCACCAAAGGGCCACAGCAATATTTTCCACCATTCCCAGTGAAGGGATGGGAGAGCTGGGAATCTTCAAGCCCCCAGACCCAGATGAGACACCCAGAGCCAGGCAGCTGGAGTCAGCCCTGGTCCCCACACCCCCCGAGGAGGGAGGGAAGGATGTTCCCAGGCAGGCAGAGCACTCGCAGTGCCGGAAGCGAGATAGGCAAAGCACCCTGCGCTGCCCACGCCGGCCCCGGGGTGCTCCCAGCCGCGGTTGTGGGGTGGCCCCGGGGCCAGCGCGCCCCGACTCGCCCTCGCCGGCGCCCGCCGCCTTCCTCCTGCTCGGGTGGGAAGGTCACACAGGCGTGGGACAGCCCTGGCGTCACCAAGGCACTGTGCCATGGAGACACCGCTGTCACCCCCAGGGTGGCCCGGGGAGGGAGTGGTGGGGATGCCAGGGCTGGAACAGGGTGGGCGGGAGGCTCCGGAGAGCAGATCTGGGGGATCGCAAGGGAATGAGGGTCCGCGGCACAGGAGCACCGGGCTGTCCCGCTAGCGGGTGTTGGAGAGGGTGAAGAACAAGAGGCACAGGGGGGTCTGAGCAGCTGCCGTTTAATGCGGGAAGGCTGGATGCGGGGACGGACGGCAGCACAGCCAGGGGGACTGTGAGCCACCCTCTCCCGCCTCCTGGCACCCCGCTCAGGGGATGTCGAGAGGGGCGATGGATGGGGTCGGAGTCCGAGAGTCGGCCCCCTCCACGCCAGTGCACGGAGCCGCTCGGCTCCCGCCTCCCCGACCGGTTCTCCCAGCCCGGCCGCTGCCTTCCCACTCCCAGGATAATGATGCCCCCGCCCTGGGGAGCTGCCGCGAGAAATCACACTCTGTACGGCCGCTCCGAGCCCCGAAAGTAGGTCACAGCCAAAATTTAGGGTACAGGCAGGTGAAAGCCCCTGATAACCCTCGACACCCTGCCAGGGTCCGCAGAGCCACCACGTCCCCGCGACCACGTGGGACAAGTTTGCTGTCCCCACCAGCACCGACACCGCCACCCACTCCGAGGGACAGGCAGTCCCCGGGAGCTTCACCCGGTGAGAGCCCCGTGCCACCCGTGGGAACGGGCTCCGGGAGCTCTGTCACCACCGATACCGAGAGCCAGGAGATGCCCGAGGGGGGGATCGGGTGACGCCTCAGAGAAGATGCCTCTGCTGGATGCTCCGGGCGGGGGGAACAGGACCCCCGCCGCGGGCAGCCAGGACAGGATCTCCTTGTTCCCTGTCTCTACCGAGATTAAAGAACCGGCTCCAATCCAGGCGGAACAAAGGCAGCTCTGTCTGCCCTCCCTCGCAGTGCCCCGGCTCCCGGCCAGCCCCAGCCCGGCCGGGGGGGCGGGCTGCGGGTCCGGGAGGTCCCGGTTCCCTGTGGTGGCCGGGGGGTCCAGGCGGGCGTGGTGGCTCCTACACGTAGTTGCTGGCTGGCAGCGAGCGGGCGGCCGTGAACTTGGCAGAGTAGGGCTTCTCCCCCCGGGGGGGGCAGGTGCAGCACAGGATCCCACCCCCCAGCAGCAGCAGTGCCGAGGCCGCCCAGCCAATGTAGAGGGACGAGCCCAGGTCCCGCTTCTGGGAGTCGGCGACCAGCGGGTTGTAGAAGTCCTGGACGATGCTGTTGGCTGACCAAGAGATGGGGACGAGGATGAGGACGCCGGCCACGATGAAGATGATGCCCGAGAGGATCATGACCCTGGCTTTGGCGGTGTCGTCCTCCACGCAGTTGGTGCACTTGCCGCCGGCGACGGCGAGCAGCGTGCCCAGGATGGCCAGGACGATGGCTACCACCACCATGGCACGGGCAGCTTGCAGGTCCTGTGGCAGGCCCAGCAGCGAGTCGTACACCTTGCACTGCATCTGCCCCGTGCTCTGCACCACGCAGCTCATCCACAGCCCTTCCCAGATGATCTGGGCCACCACGATGTTGTTCCCCACGAAGGCCGTCTCCCGCCACATGGGCAGCGCGCAGCAGAGGATGGAGGCCAACCAGCCGATGACAGAGAGGGCGATGCCCAGCACCTGCATGCCCATGGAGGCCATGGCTCGCTCCCAGCACCCCTGCCCGCCTCCCGCCGCGCAGTGCGGGCTCCCGGGACCATGGCAGGCATTATATGCCTTTGCCGAGGGAGGAGCGCCGCCACAGCCGCCGTCCTGCCGCCGGCACCGGACGGAGGGGTAAAACCAGTTTCCCGGGATTCCTCCACTTGTATTTCTCCCTCCAGCGCTGACACTTAATATCCCGGTTGCTCCCACGGAGGAGGACGCAGGGGACCGGGATCAGGCCACCCAGGTGCAGGAATGTGTCCCACTGCTGTCTGGGGGTAGGCAGTGCCAAGGGCAGTGCCAGGGCTCAGCTTGGGATGCTGAAGGGGAAAAGCTGGTGTCCAGGCACCAAATGTCTCTGCCATCACTGCCAGCACCTTCTGCTCCATCACCTGGATGGGTCCCTCCATGTTTTCGTGCCTCAGTTTCCCACAGCTCACAGTCACTGCTCCAGCAGCAGCCCAGTCTGTGGCCCCCCACGCCCCATGCCGGGAGAGCAGCACACCATCCCCCCCGCTGCCAGGCTCCGTGCCCAGCAGGACACAAGCGGCTCTTGTTTGTTCCTTGGCATCTGTACCAGCACTTCCCAGCCCTCCATCGGGCCTCGGGCAGGAGGTGTCACCGCCCAGACCCACAAACCGGTTGGAGCGGCTGCCGGTTCCCCACGGAGGAGAGACAGCACTGCCTGGGGCAAAATGGGGGCAGACCCCAAACCCACCCCACCCTGTGCTCCACCACGAGCCAGCATTCACAGGGCTGCCCTCAGACCCAGGCCTGCCCATGTCCTGCTGCCTGCTCGGTGGGTTTGGGTTTTGTGGCTTGGGGCTGTGGGGGGTAGAGGTGGCCTGAGGTTGTCCCAGTACCGTACCCACTGACCCCAGTGCCGATGCCAACACCAATGGCAACACCAATGCCGATACTGATGCTGATGCTTTGGGCACTGCCTGGTCTATCCTCTTTTAATCCACGACTCCCACAAATGTCCCCTTCCTACTCCCTCTGAGCCCCTCCTGCACCTGCACAGGTGCTCAACAGACAGCAAGGACAGACAGACAGACATTGCACTGTTTCATCACCCCAGCTTAATCCTGGGCCTCTGGGAAAGATAAGAGGCACTGAGATAATCTCAGTTTTCCTGAGCACTGGGGTTACTATGATGATGATCCAATCACTTGTGCTAATTGCTCGGTGTGATGGGTTCTAGAGCTGCACGGGATGTCCCCGGGCATCGTGTCCCCATGTGGTGGGACAAGCCGGGTGGTCCATGCACTGCAGTGCCAGCACGATGCCTGGGGATGTCTTGTTGCAGACTCCAACATGTGGGGACGAGTCAGGGTCCTGCCTGACCTGTGCGAGAGGAGCCGCCCAGGCTCCATCCATCGCTCTGTCCTGCTGGAGTGCCCGCATTATTCACATACCAGTGTGGCCACCCCGGTGCCAGAGCCTTGTGGTCAAGGGCTCCCTTTAATTTACGAGGTTCCAGAGCATCCCCGTCGGGGCCAGGCTCTGCCTGAGGCTTTCACCTCCCAGCCGGGTGCCGTAACCACCACGTAATTTGGGGCTGGAGAGAGGGACACGCACGTGTGTGTGCCCCTGGCATGGGCTGTGTCCCCTCAGGCTGGGGACAAATGACAAAGTGGGGACAAGGAGCATCAAACACCTGAGCTGCTCACATTCCCCCTGGAGCCAGAGCAGGCGCCAGCACGGCCTCCCCCAGCCAATTACTGTAATTAGTGCTGGAACGTGACATATATTCCAGCTGGCGGCTGCCACCCAGGGACAGCCCCCGTGCCCTGTGCCCTCCCCCACGTCTCCCAGTGACGTGCCTGCCCCCCAGCAGCACCAGCGCCGTGTCCCCACCACTGCCAGCCAGCAGAGTGGAGGAGCAACAGCCACCCCCAGTGCCCACGGGGCCTGAGGGTGGTCGTGTAGCACAGGTGGGACCACCGACCACCTCATCACGTGCCATCCAGGACCACCACCCCATGGACATCAGCCCCACATGAACACTGGCATCACAGCCTCGTATCCATGCCCATCAGCCCCACATGAACACTGGCATCACAGCCTCGTCTCCATGCCCATTCCCAGTGCATCTTGCAGGATCCCAGTCCCTGGCTTTGTTCCAGTGCCGTGGCACAGGCACATGTCCTAGTGGGACCACAGCACACCTGCCCAGCAGGGAGCTTTTCCACCCCAAAACAGGGTGCTCAACCCATCCTGAACTTTTGCCACCCAGCACCTGCCCCACGACCCATCTAGGTGTGGGTGCCCTGCCCCAAATCCAGTGGGGTTTGCAGGATGGGGAAGCCTGAGTCCCTGTCCCTGCTCTACTGTGCTAAAGGGGTCAATGAAGGCAGAGCTCCTGCCTGGGCATGTCCATCAGCAGATGCCCTCCAATACTTGCTCTGGTTTCACCAGCACAGGGACAAACTGTAGTGCCTCAAGGGCCCCCTGGGAAGTGAGGCCATCCCCAGGCAGGGACATGGCATTAAACCCAGTGTCACCACAATGCCAGGCACCACCAGGTGCACAGTAGAGGCTAAACCACCCTGACCATGCTCAGGGCAGAGGACACCCCGCAGGGAGAAGGTCTGGGGCAAAAATCTCCTGCCAAAAACCACCACCAAGGACACAAGTGTCAGTCCCATCTCACACACAACCAGCACCAGCTCAGCCCAGCGCTGAGCCAAGAGACCCTCCTTGCCCAGCACCTGCACACGGACCCACCACCCCGGCTACTTCAAGGCCCTGAAAAGGCGGGTGAGACTTGTCAGCAAGAGGACAACCCATCGGGATCTCCGGTTTCACATCTGCCAAGCGAGGCATGGCCAGCAGCCCTCCTGCTCAGCCCACACGGAGCAGGCAGCCAGGGATTAGTTACCAGCAGCCCAGAGACTGAATGTTCCCAAAAAACATTCTTGCCCCACATAACCCCCCCGCGCCCCGACCAGCTCAAATGTGCACAGTCAGGTTGTTTCTCACGGTGGGAAAGCAAAGCCTTATCGGCTCGGCGGGAGGGGAGCCGTGTGCCGGGACCTGCGGGGCCCCTGCGGGCAGAAACAGGACCTTCGCCCTGAAGTCACTCCGAAAGTCAAAGCTCTGTCCAATTTCTGAGCAACAAGTGTCTCCCGACAGGGAAAACACCGCCAAGCGCTGCCGAGGTGATCGGAGAAGGGATGGGGGAGAGGATGACCAGGAAGGAGGATGCGGGCGGTACAACGGGAGTCTCTTAGCAGGCGGTGCTCGCAGGAAGGGGATGCTGTGGCAAAGCCGATCCCAGCACGGCCCAGCATCCCCCAGGAGAGCCCCCTGCCACATCCCGCTGGCCGGTGCCCCCCAGCCCCCCGTGTGCCGGCACCTCCCGCCCCGCCCCGCCGGCAGACAGAGCTGCCATTGATGCTCGGAGCCGCCTTTACCTGCTCGCCGCGGCGTCGGAGGAGTTCCAACAATGGGTTGCCTGTGTGCCCTGGTCAGGACCAAGCCAACAGTCCCGCGCCTGAAATATAAGCGGTCGAGGCAGCACTTACCGACCCGGCCCCGCTCGCCCCGGGGGGGAACGCGCGGCACTCCCGACCGCAGCGGAGGGGAAACACCCCAAAATCCTGCGCGGGCTGCCGCGCACGTGAGTGGGACGCGGCCCCGAGGCACCCGGGGCTGTTGCTGCCGTCACCTCTTGCTCACCCCCGTGATGGGTGATGGGTGCATGGCAGGAAGGGGATGCTGCACTGGGTGTCCCCCCGTCCTTCCTGCTCCCCCCAGGTGTCATTCCCTCAGTGTGAGCCACCAATCTGGTGATGGTCCCATGGCCTTTGGGGTCTGACCCTCATTTGACCTCTCTGTGTCCACAGCAGGCAAACCTGTCACCATGTCACCGTTGTGTGACCACAAATGTGGCCACCCTGCTTTGTCCCTGTCCCGGGGGACTTGGATACTCCCCATCCCTCCCCAGTTGTGGGACACAGGGAGGGGGATGCAGCAGGAGGGATGGGGGGACCCCACAGGGACACTGGCTCCATTCAGCTCTTTGGTAAACACTATTGATCCAGTTTCCTCACCACAAGAATGTGTCCTGACAGAGGTGACTGGAACCTTGAAACCCCAGTGATTTGCCCCTTCCCCCACTGTGAGTCAAGTGACCGTGGCTGCCCCAGGCAGACACAACACTGGACAGAGCCTGTACTTTGGCAATTTGGGATGACAAAGTGTGAGGACGCGGCGCGTGGGGCTGATTGCAGGGTCGGGGGCTGCCGTGCTTTGCTGCCTCATCCCACCCTCCTCTGCCCCAGGAGCTCCTACCCCAGGGGTATCCCCCTGCTCCACATACCTTCCTGGAGTATCCACCTCTCCCCCTGCACCACAGCCCTACCTGGGGTGTCCCCATTGCCCCACAACCCTGTAGAAGGTATCCCCCACACCCTGCACCTCTACCTGGGGTACCCCTTGTCCCCTGCCCTTGTATGGAGTATCCCCACTTCCCCACAGACCTGCCTGTGGTATAACCATGCCTGTACTCTGAGTCCCACAGCCCTTCCTGGGGTACACCCTGCCCCAGAGCCCTGCCTGAGATAAAACCCTGCCCCAGAGCCCTGCCTGTGGTATAACCCTGTCCTAGAGACCTGCCTGGGGTACATCTGCACCCCAGAACCCTGCCTGGGGTACCCCCGACCCACAGCCCTGCTTGGGACGCTCTCTTCCCCCTGCCTGGGGTACTCTCCCACCCCACAGCCCTGCGTGGGGTACCCTCCTGACCCTGCCAGGTGTACCCTCTGCCCCAGAGCCCCTGCAGCCGTGTGGCTGTGTCTGTGGGTACATGTGCTGGTGTGTGTGCAGCCGTGTGTGTGCTTGGGGGTGTGAGCACCTGCACTGCCAGCCTGTGCCTGTTCACCTCACTGTGTCTGTGTGTGTGTCTGGGTCCGTGTGTGTGTCTGTGTGTGTGTGTCTCTGTGTCTGTGTGCGAGTCTGTCCATGTGTCCATGAGTCTGTGTGGCGGTGAGTCTCCATATCTGTGAGTTTCCATGTGTGTCTGTGTCTCGGTGTGTGTTTGTGTGTCTGTGAGTCTCTCTGTGTCTGTGAATCTGTCTGTGAGTCTCTCTGTGTATCTGGCTGCGTGTCTCTGTGTCTGTGAGTGTGTGTCTCATGAGTCTCTGTGTCTGTGAGACTGTGAGTCTCTGTGAGTCTGTGTGTGTGTCTGTGAGTCTGTCTGTGTGTGTCTATGAGTCTGTGTGTCTGTGAGTCTGTCTGTGTGTGTCTGTGTGCGGGGTGTCCCTGCCAGCAGAGGGGGTGTGGGTCTGTGTGTGTCCCTGTGCACACCTACACCCCGGGGCCACTGCCACACCCCTGCCTGCACACCTGGGGGCCCTTGGACAGCCCAGACCCCACTGTTTGCCACTGGTCCCCCCTGTGCCCACCATCACCTGCCAGCAGCACTGGGTCATGGACCGGGTCCCTCGAGGCCTGGGACCCCCAGCACCCCCAGCACTGAGGGCACAAAGCCCTGAGGTGCTGCCTGGATGGGCTCCCCCCCCAGCAGCACATACCAACTGTCTGTGGGGATTGGGGTCCCCTTGGGGCGTACAGTAGGGTGGCAGAAGCTCACCTAGCCAGATCCTGGGGGTTTTGGGGATGCCATGGGTGGGCAGAGGCTAACCTGGCTGGATATGGGGTATTGGGGTGTCGCAGAGTGGTCAAAGTCAGACACAGGGGGCTGAAAGGGGCTGGAGGCCAACCTGGATGGATACAGAGTGCTGCAATGACAGGGGGTGACAACAGCTGACCCAGACAGATATGGGGTGTCAGGGTGCTGTGGGGTGGCCCCACTGGCTGTGGGGGTTCAGTGTGCTGCAGATCAACAGAAAGTGACCCCCCAGATAGAGGGTATTGGGATGCTGTGAAACACACAAATCCAACCCCTCCCCCAGCTATGGGGGTGTCAGGGTGCTGTGGGGGTACAGCCAGGCAGTCACAGGGCTCCCACCCCCCTCCCAGGGCTCCCTCCACAGCACCAGCTGCCAGCATCCCACCGCGCTCTTGAGTAGTTAATAAGTTGTAGAGGAGATTTTTGGAGCGGGCAGGGAACAGGTAAGAGCAAGTCCGTGTCCAGCAACCACATTCCTGGGTGGAGGGGGGGCTGGAAATGCTGGCACTACCCCCAGCATGCAAAGATTGAGGGGGGACACAAGCACCCCACACCCCACAGGCTGTGGCTCTCAGGTCTGAGGGAATTGCTCATGCCTTGGGATATTTTTCCTTTTGCCACTGCCAGCTCAGGTTGTCGGGGTGACGCTGCCGGGGTGGTTACGTGCATTATCTGCTTCCTTCAAGGCCACGAGACTTGTGCAGGATGAGTAAAGATCATTATCAGTCAGTCAGAGTATCCCTGACAGTGCTCCCGGCCCTGCACGGTGGGAGCAGGAGGGGGCTGGGCGGGGGTAGAACCTGCTCCCACGGTTCCTGCCAGGCCGGGAGCACCCGTGGATCCCCTGGAATGGGGGCACAAACCTCAGGGCACAGCGAAGGGGTTGCACTTTGCACGGTGATGCAAAAGCGCCCAGTGCTCACCGAACCCCAGTTAAACGTGAGCACTGATAACACGCTCCAGAAATCAACCAAACCCTGACCCGCCAGCACCTCCAGGGAGGAAAGGTGAGCCTTTGGCATTTCCACGTCCCCTGAAAGGGGGTTGGCAGGTCAGAATGAGTCTGGTGCTTGTGTTTCCCGATACCTATCGCCCGAAACCAAGGGGATGGCCGTGGCAGGTGGCGTTTCTCCTCCTCCCGCCCTTCTCTGGTTACCCGGCGCCATCTCTGCAAACAAAGGGGAGGGTGTGGGACGCAGGTGACGGTGACGGAGGAGCGCAGAGGAGCGTCCAGCAGGCAGCACCGAAACCCCACCCCGGGCTGGCCGTATAAATGCCACTGCGCACAGGTGAAAGCCGATCCCCACGGGCTGCGAGCGGCGGCGGGTGACGGCGACGGATTCGGTCCGTGGGTTCTTCTTTGCCATCGCCCGGAGCGCGTCACTGAACCGTCCACCATGTCCATGGGGCTGGAGATCGGCGGCGTGGCCTTGTCGGTGCTGGGGTGGTTGTGCAGCATCATCTGTTGCGCGTTGCCCATGTGGAGGGTGACGGCCTTCATCGGCAACAACATCGTGACGGCCCAGATCATCTGGGAAGGGCTGTGGATGAACTGCGTGGTGCAGAGCACGGGGCAGATGCAGTGCAAGGTGTACGACTCCATGCTGGCGCTGCCGCAGGACCTGCAGGCCGCCCGCGCCCTGCTGGTGGTGGCCATCGTCCTGGCCGTCATAGGCTTGATGGTGGCCATCGTGGGCGCCCAGTGCACCCGCTGCGTGGAGGACGAGAGCACCAAGGCCAAGATCACCATCGTCGCCGGCGTCATCTTCCTGCTCTCCGGCATCATGACCCTCATCCCCGTGTGCTGGTCGGCCAACACCATCATCCGGGATTTCTACAACCCGCTGGTGATCGACGCGCAGAAGCGGGAGCTGGGCACCTCTCTCTACGTGGGCTGGGCGGCCTCCGCGCTCCTGCTGCTTGGGGGGGCCCTGCTCTGCTGCTCCTGCCCCCCCAAAGAGGACAGGTACCCCACGGGCAAGGTGGCCTACTCTGCCCCACGCTCGGCTGTCACCAGCTACGACAAGAGGAACTATGTCTGAGCCCCCCCCTCGGGATCCCCCGGCACCCCCCACCTCACCCCACCCTCCCCGGGACCCCCAGGGCCCTCGGTGGGACCCGGGCACGGCAGCGCCGGGGCAGGGGGGGGCGCGAAGGAGGGGACGGGCCGGCGGCGGGGTCAGGGCCGGGCTGTGTAAATAGAGACAGTTTCGGTTAAACACGAGGCAGTTTCGGGTCGGCGGGAGAAGCGGCGGCCGGCGAGGCCCCGCCGCGCCCATGGGGCAGGATGGGGGCGGGATGGGGACGGTGCCCCCCCCGGCGTGTCCCCCCCATCGCTGCCGGCCGGGCACCGTCTGTCCCTGTTACGCGTGGTCTGTATCGGTTACATTTGTCAATAAACGTGTCCTGTTTTGGTACCCGAGTGTCGCTGGGCTGTGGGGTCACAGGGAGGGGGGTAACGGGCTACAGCCTCCCCCAGAGGGACACCCTACACACCCTTTACGGGCATTACCCCCAAAGGGACACCCTACACACCCTCCAAGGGCAGCGCTGGGACGGCACTGGGGTGGGGGCTGAAGGAGGCTCAGCCGCAGCCCTTTCCCCCCGCCCCGGGGGTCTCTGCTCGGGTGGGAGGGGTGGCGGGGGGGCACACCCGTTACCCCCCTGCATTCCGGGGGCAGCTCCCCACGCGGTCGGGAGGCGCTGCCGGAGCCGCTGGATGCCGCGGGGACACTCCCTGCCCGCCGGTCCAAAGTCTGGGTTCCTCGAGGGGGGGGGCGGAGGAGCCCGCGGGGCGCTCCCCCCGCTCGGGGAGCCGCGCTGGGGCGAGGCCGCCCTGCCCGGCCGCTCCCCGCGCCCTCCGCCACGCTCGGCCGGGCAGGGACAAAGGGGCAGGAGCCGCCGCGGCAGCGCTGCCGGACGGCGGCGGCGCGGGTGCCGCTGTGCCCGCGGGCGGGAGCGCAGCCCCGGGGGCCCGCCCGGCCGTCCCGCCGGTGCCCACCCGGGGCCTCCCGCCGGTGCCCACAGGGCTCTCCCGAGCGGCGGCTCCGGGTGCGGCAGGAGCGGCCCTGCCGTGACCTTCCCGCGCCCGCACGGCCGCCCGCCCGCCACTGGGGGGCGCCACAGGGGCGGGGCCGGGGGCGGGGCCGTCCGCGAGCACCGCCTCAGGGCCCGCGCGCCGCCGCCGCCGCCATGATAGTCCACCGGCTGTCCCGCATCCCCGCCCCGCTCCGCCCGCCGCCCGCAGCCGCCACCGCCCGCTCCCTGGGCACGTAAGGAAGGGCCCGGTCCGCGCGCGGGGCGGGGGCGGCGGGAGCGCTGCCGGGAAGGGTCCCGAGAAGGAGGAGCGGTAGAGCCGCCAGACGGGGCTTGGCCACGCCCCCCTCCCGCAAGCCACGCCCCCGCGTTATGGTGCCTTTCACGGCTCGGCGGCCATGGCCACGCCCCCTGGGTGAGGCCACGCCCTCTAACGGCGCCCTCTCCTGTGGCCACGCCTCCTTCCCCTCAGCCCGGGCCCTCCCTGAGATATTTTTATATATCTTTATATATTTGGCATTGTGTGGTGGCTCGAGACTCACAGAATCACAGGATGGGTCAGGTTGGAAGGCACCACAGTGGGTCACTGGTGCCACCTCCTTTGCTCGGGCAGGACCAGCCCAGAGCACATGGCACAGGATTGTGTCCAGAGGGCTCTGGAATATCCCCAGGGAGGAGACTCCAGCCCCTCCCTGGGCAGCCTGTTCAGAGCTGGGTCACTGCCCAGGGAAGTTCTTCCTCCTGTCCAGCTGGAGCTTCCTGGGCATCGGTTCCTGCCCGTTCCTCTTGTGCCATTGCTGGGCCCCCCCAGCAGAGCCTGGGCCATCCTCTGCCCCCTCCCTGCAGCCCCTGACACACCCTGGGGAGGGCCCCTCTCAGTGTGTGCTCTGGAGGCTGAACAGCCCCAGCTCCCTCAGCCTTTGCTGGGCAGGGAGATGCTCCAGTGCCCTCCTCATCCTCCCAGCCTGCGCTGGAGCCGCTGCAGGAGCTCCCTGTGCCTGCTGTGCTGAGGAGCCAGAGCTGGGCCCAGCCCTGCAGATGTGCCTGCCCAGGGCTGAGCAGAGGGGCAGGGCTCATCCTTCCATCCCCCACACCCCTGGCCGTGCCCCCACGCCTCTCTCTTCTCCTGCAGCGCGGTGCCCCTGGCCCACGTGGTGCTGGAGGGTCGCAGGGACCGGCTGCCCCTGGTGCTGCTCCACGGGCTCTTCGGCAGCCACGGCAACTTCCAGACGGTGGCCAAGACGCTGGTGCGGCGTGGGAGCGGCAAGGTGAGAGCCGAGGGGGCGCCCTGAGGAGGGGCACTGTGGGCAGTGCCCACAGAGTGACACGGTGCCCCTGCCCAGGCAGGTGCTGACAGTGGATGCCCGGAACCACGGCGGGAGCCCCCACAGCCCCGAGATGACCTACGAGGCCATGAGCCTGGACGTGCAGCACCTCCTGAGCCGCCTGGGCATTGCCAAGTGCATCCTGCTGGGACATAGCATGGGTGGCAAGACTGCCATGACGTTGGCCTTGCAGCGGGTCAGCAGGCACAGGGCTCTGGGAGCAGGGGGGAGCGGGCTCAGGGGGCTCCTGGGAGGGCTGTAGGAAGGGGGTGGCACTTCCAGGGTGTTCACCAGTGCCAGCCTTGCCCCCAGCCCCACAGGGCCTTGTCTCCATCAGGGTGGGGTGCACGAGCAAGTCCATGTCCACCAGCCCAAAGCTCTGCCCTGTCCCTCCAGCACCAATGGAGAGGGAGCTTGGAGATCAGTGCCAAGCAGAGGGACTCTGGGAAGGGCACACGGAGGTCTCTACTGAAGCAGGAGGGAGCCAGGAGCCTCCAGGGAATCTGGCTGGGAGTAGAGCCCTGTGCCCCCTCCCACTGGGGGGATCTTGGGAGATCCTGGCATGGACGTGCCCTGCTTGTGTCCCCAGCCAGACCTGGTGGAGCGCCTCATTGCTGTGGACATTGGTCCCGGCTCGACCGCCCCCGTGTCCGAATTCTCTGGCTACATCTCTGCCATGAAGGCAGTGAAGGTCCCAGCTGGCCTGTCCCGCTCTGCAGCCCGACAGCTGGCTGATGACCAGCTGCAGCCTGTGGTCAAGGTAGGAAATCCCATGGGAGATGGAGGTGGAGGTGCCAGACCATCCCAGTTTGTTACTGAACAGTGCACCATTGCCTTCTGTGGCAGCTTCCACAGCTCAGACAGTTCCTCCTCACCAACCTAGTGGAGGCTGAGGGCCGCTATGTGTGGAGGGTGAACCTGGAGGCTATTTCCCAGCACCTGGCAGATATCATGAACTTCCCTGTCTTCCACAAGCCATATCCTGGCCCCACGCTCTTCCTGGGAGGGTCTGAGTCGCCCTATATCAGGTGGGACTGGAGAGAAGCGGTTCCAAGTCTGTGCTTTGACCCCTTGTGCTCTTTGCAGCTGCTGAGGGTGGGAGGAAGCCCCCAGGGTGGGGGAGGTCCTGAGCAAGGTCTGTGCCTCCAGCAGCCGGTGACAGCGATGCTGGAGGGGGGACCCAGGGAGGGGACATGGTCAGACCTGGGATCACCTTCTGCATGAGGAAGGGGAGGGACCTCTGACTGTGGCACATTCCCTTATCCTGCAGCTCCAGAGACTACCCGGAGATCCAGCGCCTCTTCCCCAAGGCAGAGATCCAGTACATCAAAGGTGCAGGGCACATAGTCCATCAGGATAAATTCGAAGAATTCATCACTGCTGTCCTCAATTTCCTGCCACAGGTGTAGCCATGGGGACCAGGATTTCTGCAAGGACCGTGTGGGTCCTGAGGAGCTCTGGCGTTGGGCACAGGGTTTAGGGCTCTGTGAGGAGGGGCTGAGCCAGGACTGGCTGCTCTTGTTGCAGTCTGATCCTGCCTGCAAGGCTCTCCCATCCTGGTTGTCCTGCAGCCAGAGTGGAGAGGGAGCTCCATCCCGCTGAGCTCTCCTGCCACCTTGCAGGGACACAGGGTGGCAGCAGCCCAGGACACTGTCCTGCCTGCACTGGAGTGTTGGGCACTCGAAGGGGGCAGGAGAGCCCTCTCATTTTCCTGCTGCCAGACCAATCCGTGGATCTGGCTGTGACTTTGCAGAACGTGCAATAAAGCTGAATTGGTGCCAAGGCACAGCAGGGTTTGGATGTGGCTGTGGAGGGCAGGGAGGAGTGTGGGGGGCACAGGGAGGGGCTCTCACTCACCAGCAGGGATGCTGGTGGGAGGTGACAACTGCACTGGGCCCCTAATGTGACGAGCTGTGGGAGCAGTGCACAAGACACGGGTTGGAGGATCTTTGGTGACTCCCAGGGGAATCACATCCTTGCTCCATCTCTGGGGCAACATGAGGATTGGGGAGCAGGGGAATCTGCCTCCCGAGCTGCCAGCCTGCGAGGGGGAGGCATGGAAACCCTCAGAGTGCATCTGCACAGTCTGTCCCAAAGGCAGGGGGTCTTTTCCTCCCTGATCTCCCAATGATTCCTCCCCTCCTGCCTGCTCTGCATCCCCCCGAGGCAGCATAACACGCCCACCCCACCCGCTGTGGGCTGGAGGCAGAGGAGCAGGGTGTCAGCTGCAAAAATCCCTTTACTGGACAATGGGTAAAGCCAGGGATGGGGTGGAAGTGGCTGTGGGGGGGACAGATCATCTGTGTCACAGCTGGGGACAGGCTCTGTGTGGGGACAGTGAAGAGGGACACCTAACCAGCTTTGCACTTGGTGCTCCCCAGCATGGGTTTGCTCAGTTTGAGGTTGTTGGGAGGCCCCAAAGGGGAGGGAGGATGGCAGACCAAGGATGTTTTATTCCAGGCCTGGCTATAGTTGGCTGGCAGAGGGGGCACCAGGGGCTGGCTGGGAGATTCGCTGTGTTCCTGCAGAGCTGCTCTTGTCTCTTCCCCTTGTCCTTTTCTGACCAAGTGCATCTCTCAGGAGCAGGGCTGTGCTGGCCTTGAGTTTTCTGCTGTGTTACCTCAAACACTTTTGCTCTCTGTGTATTATTTTGTCACCAGTGAGGAACATCAGACCAAGAAGTTCCTGAGCCACTGGCTACTGAAACAAGTCCCTTGGGTGCCACCAGCCAGCTGGGGGGTGAGGCCTGGCCCCAGCTATCAGCACACAAAACCTTTGGACTGAGCCTTGAGCTTTGGAACCCAGGATCAATGGGGAATTAATCTCCACTCCTTCCTGCTGTCCAGGTCCCAGGTTTGGGGCATGGACAAAAGGCTGCCACAGAGTTGTGAGGTGAAGAGACAGGTCAGTGGCCCGGGAAGAGGTGGAACTTCCATCTGGTGGCATTTGCTGAGGGAATTTAGCAAAGCATTGTTGGACGTGGGGTGAGGGAGATGGCAGGGAGAAATGAGAGAACTCTGTTCCCTGCATTGGAAGGGTGCAGGGAGTCAGGAGCCATCCCAGGGCCATGTGTCTGGTGCCATGGGCTGCACCAACGTGCCAGGCTCGTGTATGCCCATAACATGTCAGGGTGCTGATGCCTCCAGAGACCCAGCTGAGTTCCCAGGCCAAGCCAGACCTGGTTTTGACTCAGCCTGCTCCCAGGGGGCCTGCTGAGAAATGTCCTGGCCTGGCCTGAGCTCTGCTCCCTGCAGGATTTCTGACCCTTGGCACAGCTGCAGTTAACCACAAAGCTCACCTTCAGGAAGAGCTCCTCTAAGTGGCTGTTACAGGCATGGTTTTGAAACTGCTCTGGCAGGCACTGGATGAAAATGGAGTGTGTTGATGACCCTGGGGGGTCCCTGTTCAGCCCCACAGGGGACAGCCACCCCCCAAAACTCTATTGTCACAGCATAGGGGGCTCAGAGCAGTGACACCAGGGACACCCAACTGCCCCTTGCTTTCCAGCCTTGGACAATTCCCAGGGCTGGGCCCCATTCCAACCTCCCATGGAGGTTCTGGGAGCCCCAGCACATCTGGGAACAGATGATGGCCCCTCATCACTCACCCAAGTCAGCAGCTCTGCCAAGGTGCCATCCTGAGGCTGTCAGTGGAGACTTGGCTGGGCCCTTGGAGCACAGTGTTAATGAGGAGCTGAGCCTTATCTGTGCACATCCTGCATTGATCCTGCACCTCTTCCACCCCACTGAGGCTCAGAACTCCTTGGCACAGCAGTAGGCCCAGCAGCCCAGAGGTCAGTGGGTTGCTCACACATTCCACAGACTTTCCACATGTTCTGGAGCAGCTTCTCTGCAGGGCAGCACCATCAGCCGCACGTCACAGCTCCTGCTGTCCCACCTCCCCCTCCGGGTGCTTCCTCTTCCTCATCACCCCCTACCTCCTCCCCTTCCCCATCACCTCCTCTGGGTGTTCCCCTGCCCCACTGACAACCCAGGGTTCTGCTCCCTCCTTCATTTTCCATCCTGGAGGTTTCCCTGGCCATCACCCACCTCCCCCTTTTCCCAGCCTGGAGAAATTGCACCAGGGAATGAATTTGCATGGACTCAGCAGCTGTTGGGAAGGGAGGAAGCTGCCAGCCCTCTCAGAGCCAGGCATGGGGCACCCCAGTGCCAGTCAGGGATGGTTGTCCTGTGCCAAGGACCAACATCCCTTCGTGCACACCCCCAAACCCTCCAGACCTGTCCGGGGCTGGGCTTGGCTCATCCCTTCCAGGGGCTGCAGGGAGACACCACCCAGGGCAGCAGCACCTCATCCTGGAACAGCTGCCCAGGGAGGGTGTGGAGTCTCCCTCTCTGGGACATTCCAAACCTTCCTGTGTCACCTGCTCCAGGTGACTCTGCCTTGGCAGCAGGGTTGAACTGGCTGATCTCCAGAGGTCCCTTCCAACCCCATCCCTTCTGTGGCTCTGTGATGCACCCACGGGCCCAGCAGCCCTGTCTTCATCCTGCAGGAGCCTGGAATGTAAAACCTGGGCTGTCTGAAAGGCTGGGATTGCCCCAGAAGGCTGAGCACAGGCAGAGACCCGGGTGGGAATGGCAGAAGTAACACCAAGGATGGGGAAACCCAGGGACAGGGGCACAGGCACATCCACCCCGGGGGAGACACACCCAGCCTTGGAATACACATCCACCCCCTGGGAAGCACATCCACCACTGGGATGCTCATCCAGCCCCTGGGATACACATTCCCCTGAGGAGGCAGAGGGAAGCAGCCGCTGAGCGAGGCTGGATGCAGGGCGATAGAATAGTGAGGCCTCACGCTCCATTGACTGTCCCGCTGGCTCCGCAGGCAGCGGGGCCCGGCTCTGAGCCAATCCTTCCCCCCTCCCCACACTATCCCGCCCCGGCCGGGTCCGGGGGGTCCCTCATGGCCGGGGATCCCTCATGGCCGGGATCGCTCATGCCCGGGGTCCCTCATGCCCGGGGTCCCTCATGGCCGGGGTCCCTCATGCCCGGGGTCCCTCATGACGGGGGTCCCTCATGCCCGGGGTCCCTCATGGCGGGGGTCCCTCATGGCCGGGGGGTCCCTCATGCCCGGGGTCCCTCATGGCGGGGGTCCCTCATGCCCGGGGGTCCCTCATGGCCGGGGGTCCCTCATGGCGGGGGTCCCTCATGGCCGGGGGTCCCTCATGCCCGGGGTCTCTCATGCCCAGGGACCCTCATGGCCAGGGGATCTCTCATGCCCGGGGTCCCTCATGGCCAGGGGGTCCCTCATGACGGGGGTCCCTCATGCCCGGGATCCCTCATGCCCGGGGTCCCTCATGGCCGGGATCGCTCATGCCCGGGGTCCCTCATGCCCGGGATCCCTCATGCCCGGGGTCCCTCATGCCCGGGGGTCCCTCATGGCGGGGTCCCTCATGGCCAGGGTCCCTCATGCCCGGGGTCCCTCATGGCGGGGGTCCCTCATGCCCGGGGTCCCTCATGGCCAGGGTCCCTCATGCCCGGGGTCCCTCATGCCCGGGGGTCCCTCATGCCCGGGGGTCCCTCATGGCCAGGGTCCCTCATGCCCGGGGGTCCCTCATGCCCGGGGTCCCTCATGGCCGGGGTCCCTCATGGCCGGGGTCCCTCGGGCCGGTCCCGGTGAGGGCTGAGGGGGTCCCTGTGCGGGCGATCACGTGACGGGACACCCCGACCCTCGACCCCCCGCCCGTTCCTGAGGGGAAGAGCCGCGCGGCCTCCCATTGGCCGCGGCGGGACGCGCTGTGATTTCTCATTGGCCGCCCGGCACCGGGTCCCGCCCCCTCCCCGGCGTGTCACGGGATAGGCCTGGCGGGAGCCGCGGGGGGGGCGTGGCCTGGCAGCCGGCGGCGCTGGGCGGGGACGCGTTCCGTGCGCTGATTGGCCGGGGGCGCCGGCGGTGCCGGGCGCTGATTGGCGGCGGCGCGCGCGCCGGCGGCGGGGGGGCCGGGCGGGAGGCGCACGCGGCAGAGGCGGGAGCGGCGCGGCCGGAGCCGGGCGGGACCCCCGGACGGGGCAGGTGAGACCGGGGGCTCCGGGGCGGGGGCACCGGGGGCCGTCGGAAACCGCCTCCCGCCGCCCTCTCGCCGCTGCCGCTCCTCCTCCCCGCCGCCCGGCCAGCGCGGCCTCCCCGGGGCCTGTCCGTGAGGGGCGGCACCGCCCGGCGGCGGCAGCGCTGAGGCGGCGGCCCCTCCGCCACACCGGGCGGGGGCGGGTTGGCCATCACAGCCCTGCCCTGCACCGCTCCGGCTCTGCGGCGCTCGGGGCCTGGGCCTTTCCCCGGCCGAGCCCGCGGGCCCGGCTCGCTGCCCCATTCCCCGGGGCCGCGGAGATCCCGCCTGGGAGCGCCCGGAGGGTGGGAGGTTCTTGCACCGCCGGGGAGCTGGTTCTTGTTCGCACCCGGCTACCCTCCGGAGATCTCTCGGGGCTGTGTTTTTGGAGCAGGTGCCTCCCCTCCGTGTTGGGCGGGAGCTGGTGCTGGCTGTAAGTTTGGTGGTGTTGCAGGCTGGACGTTTATTTCGAGCCCCCTCAGCTAACGCTGTGTTGTCACCACTGGCTTCCCTGAAGCGTCTGCAACGATGCCTTTGGCTTTTCCTGCTGAATTAACTGAAGGGGGATGAACTCAAAATAATCCGTGTTAAATTGGGGGTTCCTAGGACGTTGTTGGGGACAGCATGTCAACGGTCTCATAAGCATCCTGCTGGTGGTTTTGGCAGTGGCTTGAAGGAGTTTTGGAGCTAAAAAGCTGAGGAAGTTCATGGGAAACTCG